TTTTTTTTTTTTTTCTACATTCCGTGCGATGTTTGCAGCTGAAGTCAAGCCCTTTTTGATGCCGCATTTGGGCCCATTTTGACGGGAAATGAAAGGAAAATGCACCAAATTTTCTGCCTCCGGCGGCGCCTCCGGCGAGGCCCCCTCACCAGCCGGGGGGGGCCGATGGGGGGGCTCGCTTCGCTCGCCCCCATCACGGCTCGCTGCGTTCGGCCGTAGGCGATATATCGGAGAAAATATCGTTATATCGGCTGCTGCGCAGCCGATGTAAAATATATCGTTTTTTCGTACCGATTCACAACTCTAAAGATTAGATACTCCACGACGAAGAGGAGCCATAATCTACATAGAAAAAAACGTTATCAAAAAGCTCTCGACGAGACCGCTTCAACGCCGCCGTCGTCGGCGCTGCAACTCATTCCGCTGTGGAGAAATCGAGCCTTGAAAATCGGACCAGGGGATATGGTATCTTGTGTCATGTCACCTACGGTATCCAGGTGTATGAATAAGCAACTGCTGTTTCTTCGTTTATGTGGTGTGTGCACAGCGGTGTCGTTCGAGATCCTCAGCTAACCTCTCTCAGTCTTAGATGCAAAAACATGGGCTGGGATCGCAAGAAGCCCTGCCATCTTTCTCTTTTTTGTCTCTCTCTGTCGCTCGTTCAGCGCTACAATAAGTCGCACGCGACTCATCATCTTGGTCGTGTCCAGCTTCGCGCGCGCTGGAGCAGGTTGTGCGATTGGGTGAGGGTTATTTCCCCACAGGGTCATTTTTCCAGGGAGAAAAACAACCAAGCAAACGACCATCACTTCCGACAACATACACGCAAACCCTACCATGACCACAAGACACCTGCTGCCTGCAACTCACGTGTAACGCATGGTGTTCCCCGTTGTGAGAGGAAGATCCCGCATGGAGATGAGCTTCATTCAGACGAACCGGCCAACCTGCCGCCGACAATCGGGAGCCTTCCCTAAGGCACTCCACACATCGCACCAGAGCAGCCCTCGATGGCTCCAATGGTGGATGTTTCCCGAAAAGCCAGGTTCCTCCTCCGCCCGCCGCCGAGCGGCCGCGGGCGGCGGGCGGGCGGAGACAGGCTGCGGGAGGGTGGTGGGTGGGTAGGGCGCTGGCGGTGGCTTGCTCTACACAAAAAAAATGCACGTGTATGAAAAAAATCGTATCTTCACCAACTCCCCCGAAATTCAAAATTGCGCCGGTTCGCTCCTTCCTGCTGCTGCTGCTTGAGACTGACTTGGGCCCTCCAAAACTCCGACAGGTACGAACAAACTCCTTCGTGTTTGGGCGAAGATGGACTGGGTCTTTGTACAAGCCCAACATGCCACCATGCACAACATACTGCTGCTGCCGTTCACCTGTCGCCGCCCTTCCACGTCTACCTGTCCATGAGACATGCTGCCACTTGATGCGACAACATCTATCTGGGAACAACACGGACACAGGGAGTACTCCCCCTACGCATACACACAACGTCAAAAAAACTGCTTAGAATATAAGCTAGAACAACCTCTCATTCCTCTCTTTCCACATACTTTTCTTCTCTTTTTCTTTTTCTCTTTTTCTCTCTTTTTCTGTGCCAGATGGCCTTGTCCCTGCTTGCGTTGTTGTGTATCAAGATTGAATCAAGGGGGTGTACCTCATTCTCTTCGGCCCGTGATGGTGACCCCTAGTCTCAGTTGTTACCTCGCACAGCGCGCAGAGGGAGTGGAGGACTCCAGAATATCTATCGTTGATTTCTATTGACTTGCGGACCCCTCGGAGCAATTTTATTCGAGTGTACCTTTTTAGGGTAAGTTAACCTGCGACCACGGGAATCGACCGCGTCGAGTGTTGGATCAGTACGGACANGAAGACAACAACAACAACAACAACAACAACAACAACAACAACAACAACAACAACAACAACAACAACAACAACAACAACAACAACAACAACAACACACAAATGATGTAGATGCATGAAATGATACACTCTGTCTTTCTGTACGGTTCGCGCTGCCTACAAATTAATGAGAAAGGTAGCTATATATTATACCTTCTGCCGACACACGGGCGAGAGAGGCGACCATACCCACTGCATTTAACACACACCCACATGTCAGTGATGAAACCCCAACCACACGCCTCTATCGGCGGCCACGCCAGGAGGCAATGATGAGATAATGTTCTCCCGTGCCCTTCTCACATTTATTTAACGACATGCCATTAAACAACAAGGTAAATATATGTTCTCCCGCGCCGCACATACATGCCCCCATACGTCACACACAAAAAATAAGTTGATGACGAAAATATACACACACCGAGACCCGCTTAGGCTACTTATTATGTGTCATTTTCGCCAGATTATTTTTGATCAATAATGATCTAGGTGTCACATCCGGCTTCTTATTAATGTGTCATTTTTGCGCCTTTTTTGATCGAAAAAAAAATGATCTGGGTTTCTGATCGCCCGAGTTGATCAGAAAACTTGGAAAAAATGGTTCTTGATCAAAAATAATCTGATCAGATATTACACATAAGGAGTACCCTTACTCCGCAAGCACATAAGNCAGATTATTTTTGATCAATAATGATCTAGGTGTCACATCCGGCTTCTTATTAATGTGTCATTTTTGCGCCTTTTTTGATCGAAAAAAAAATGATCTGGGTTTCTGATCGCCCGAGTTGATCAGAAAACTTGGAAAAAATGGTTCTTGATCAAAAATAATCTGATCAGATATTACACATAAGGAGTACCCTTACTCCGCAAGCACATAAGAAGGGTGCCATCATAGAACACCCGACAAACCGAGTTCCCCTAAATCTTCCGTCTACAACTTCCCAACATAACATACGCATAGATACACAAGATGGCGACCTAACTGTCTTGTTGAGCCTGTTACCCACAGGGGAGATATCGTTGTATGCTGTCTGGGAAACCGTAGACATACAGGTAGCCTTTCGCTCACGCTATGGATTCATTGCTAATCTATCTTAGACTTATTTCTACAGGTAGATAGAGATGGATTTGTGTGTGATATTAAGAAAAATATATATATATCCGCATGTCCGCTTGCATGTAATGGTATATGACAAGCCAACAAATTGTTGTTGCCATATGCCATTGCTTGCATGCATGCATATCCATGTTTGTCCGCATTGATTGGCAGAGCGGACAGCAGTAAGATAGCTCCAGGCCTGTGTGCTGGCTCCCACGGGAGCCGCTCGATAGCGCCGGGTGCACGCACAGCCTCCACCAACCTCTTGCTACGTGGTAGATGTAAGCAGTACCTCGGTGTTGTACACGACTCTCCTCTGGGAACGACCGACAGACGGTCGAGGCCGGATGACGAAACACCTCAAGCCTCGCGGCCTCAACATGTCTCATGAGACCACATATAGCAGTGCAGCAGCAGAAGTCTTGAGTCACGGGTTGGTGATGCAAGGGTTGCTTCCAGCGGAATCGTTAGCTTCTCACGTGTGTACTTCATGTTGGGGTATAGAATGACGTTGAAACCCTAACAAGCCCTCTCGTGTACCCGCCCGGCCGTATAGTGGGATCCTCTGGGGCTGATATACGCCTGGATTGCCACCGCTCGAGGCCTACGAGAACCGGACATCGGCGCCGCGGCAACGATGATTCCGGTGCAATATGAAGCACGACCGCTATATGATATCTGCCACACAAGATGCCAAACTACTGTACAGATTATCATACGTTTTATTTCTTCGCCACGTGAAAATCACAGCGAACGGCTCTCAAGACCGCGCGAACGGCATCGGTTTGAGGTGTTGCATCTAACCGACCTTGTACGCCTTTCGCAAAAGACAAGACCATTTGCAAGAACTGCCCGCGGCACGCCACGCTCTTGCTTTTCTAGACTATGCCACTGGAGGAACCCTCCTACTCCTGCCACCTTGTTGTAATGCGTCAAAACCGGCGTCGATTTGCTGCATGATCGACAAACGATCCGCTGGGGCGACCATGCCCTCGTACCTCGCCTCTCTCGCCAACCTCCATGCCTCGATCCCCGATCTACTCCTCTCTCCCCGGCAGGCGTCGGCGAAGCCCTCGCTGTGCTTCACGATGGGCTGCGCCACGGCGTGCAAGCTGCGATTTTTCGTGATGGTCGGGAAAGGCGTCAGGTGGAAGGCTAGGAGCGCCGACGCTTGATCTCTGGCTGTCGCCAGGGCTGGAGTTTCCATTGCCGCTGTCCCCGCGAGCCCCGCCCTCACTCCCACTCCCAAACGGCGCCATTGGCAACCCGATGAACTTGCCGACGCACCGATAGAATCGGTCACCGGCGACGCCACCTTGCGTTCGGAGGAAGCGATAGCCTGAAGAGCAGGCGAGCGCTGCGGCTCAACTGTTGGGCTAGGTCGCGCCCCGCGGAACGCAAGCTGTGGCGATGTCCCTAGGGAGAAACAAGGCAGCTGCGGGGTGCTCGCCGTGGCGACTATCCGCTCGGCGTCCAATCCCCGAGTCGGAGGTGACGACTCCGACGATGAAGTGCGCCTCGTCGCTGGCCTCGCGGTCGCGGCGGTATCCGCGGGAGTTTCGGTGTTGCGGGTCTCTTCTTCCAAGGGTGTGGCGGCGGGGGTCGACTGCGACCTCCGCATCGATTCTTTGTGGCCGCTACCACCGCTGTGCGTTGGTACCGGTTCAACCGCCGGTCCGACGCCCTTGCCGCTGCTAGCCTTGGCGGTTCCTGATGGATCGGTCCGACTGCTAATGCGTCCTCGGCCTCTGTCGGTAGACGTAGGATTGGCCGCCGTGGCCACTGCAGCTTTCCCGTCCGCGTTCGATCTTTCTGTCTCCCCACTTCTTCCCGTCCGATCACTAGTATTGGTGCTGCCGTGGGCAGCTTCGTCGCCGGTTTGGGCGGAGTTTCCTGCTTGGTGTTTCGCGGGGCCGGTGGAGGTGCTAGCGCTGCCGGTGCTCATGTCAACGAGTAGCGGGGTCCCCGCGAGCGAAACGAGCTGCTCCACCTCTCCCCCTCGCTCCGTCATCCTAGACCTCCTTGCCTTGGCGGCCTCCACGTACACTGTGTGCGGCGTGCGAGAAAGACGCGTTGTGGCCGACCCTATGGCGATAAGAGCACCTGGCGACATGCTGCCCTCGCACTAACGTTGATGGTGATAGACTGAGTCGTCAACATTGTTTGCTGCTTTTTTGACCTTGCAAACGAGCGCTCCGTCTGATACATACCATTAGCCTAACGTCGAACACGACAGATGCAAACCTTCCGAAGCGTAATTCCAAATGAATTCTTTTGTAAACGCCCTACCAATACGGAAAGCTCCTTCGGAGTTACGGGTAGATTATAAATATATCACCATTCAGTGTTACCACGACCAAACGTAAGACTGGGTCTGCCCTCAAACCAGACCCTTCGTGGCAAAGATTTCACAAACGCGATCCGCTCGTACGTGGGGGTAAGCCTGCCGAATCAGCAGCAAACGATGACGTGCATTACTCGGGAACATTCTGCAACGTCGTGAACGTTTCGCGTGCAGACCTGAGCATTGCGCCTGCTTCTTCCTTTGAAACGCACAGGCAATGACTTCTCACCCTTCCTAGCTCGGGCGTTGTGCTCCAAGTGTGCAGCGAACCTGTCGGCTCTGCACTGAAGGACTCTCAGGGGCGTCTTCGCCACAACCGACGCTGGCTGCACGCCGCCGAGCAAGGCGGGGATGTCTCCGATGAGGGCCTTTGGTCCTAGAGATCCGAGCTGGCAAACGTCGACCTGCGTGCAATAGGCGTTGATCAAGGGAGGGAAAAATAGAAAATAGGCGTGTCTCTCTTCGACCAGGTATTTAGTGCGTCGATCACCGGCGTGCGTAGTTCTTTTGGCGTAATTTTTCTCCCTGACGAACAACTTCAACTTCTTGGAAATGGACCCATCCGTTAGTGGCGATAGGCGTCCTGCCGCCAGAGTATGGGCACAACATGATTATGCCCTAGTAGCTGCGACCTCGCTGGTCTCTTCATTGCCGAGGGATGCAGCGTGCGTGCTGTGTATCTATGTCGTCATGAAAGTTCTCCTGATGTCTATCCGACTGGTCTTGCATCCGACTGGTGTTCTTCTCGATGAAGGGGTCCGCTTGCTCACTTCATGGATCATCGCACGCTTGGTCACAAGGTGTGAAATCCGAGGAATCGCCGCACCTGCGTGTGAAAGCCGCTGGTGAGCACCACATCGATCTTGCTGCCTTGGGCACTGCCTAGGTTGTACCTCGCGCTCCTTCCACCAGACACCTTCGCGCCTGCATGTGATGGAAAAACAGACTGAGCGTGATCTTTATCTCGGCGTACGGTGGAGTTTCTTCTTTTGTCCAGGCGGATGGTTCAGAATGTCACCAGATTTCGTTAGGTTCTACGATGAATGTTGCTCGGGGCTTGTCTGTTGGGCGGGCTCGTCAACGTGCGAAGTAGGCCTTTTCACGTCTAGATGGTGGCGACCCTGTCGAGTCTCACCGGACGCCTGGGACTGGGAACACGGCTTCCCAGACTTGACGATCCTGCACTCTCCCTCCACGATTACGAACACCATCGTGGGAGAAGCTCCTTCGTGTACCAGGATCGAACCAACCCCGTACCGAGCTTCTCGCATAAGCACTTCCCGCTTCCTGCCGCCGCCGCCGCCGCCACCGCCACCGCCTACCTCCCCTCCAAACCCACCCTCGCCCCCCATCCCGGGGAGCTCGAGACCCATGCTCTTCATCAGGCGGCTCCTGACAACGAGATTAACGGCGGTCGCGCAAGGATGCCAATTATTTCGTCCTGAACCCCCTTTAAAAGCTCAGCGACGTAGAGTATTGATGGGAGATTTTCGCGACGTTTATTGAGAAGGCATAGTCCAGCCAGCAACGTGGCTGCGACGCAGCAAAGATATTTGCAAAAATATGGCGAAAGTTACTCGACTGTGTATGTTGAGGGTGCACCGAGATGATGACTACAGCAGTAGGTTCCCTCCTCCGCACCTCCCCCGCTTTTCAGCGAGCTTCTTGAGCATCGGTACCACTTCTGCCCCGTTTATGGACAAGTACTGCCCGTCCGGGGCAATCTTGACCCTGATCTTGCCGGCCTCCGTTGTCGCTTGGCGCCTCTCTCCGTACTCCCGCTCCCCTCGATAGACTTTACTTCTCGGGTTCGATTTCATCCTCTGCTCTCGTGTGGCGATCCGAAGAGGGGGGGCAGCAACAAGGCGACACGATGACTGTGCATGTTGCCTCGATATTTGCCGGTTTCGTACGGCCCACCCGTCCAGTCCGTGTTGACGGAAGGCGAAGGGCACCGTTAGCTCGATAGACGCTAAAGCACGCTCTCATCAAAGATTTGTGCCTAAAGTCGACAGATGTGTAACTACGCCACCCGCTGGACGTCGACAGAAAGGAAAGAGGAAACGTGTTCGGCTCGTTCTTCTCACCTCCACACTGCGAATGGCCTCCTCCAAGAGCACCTCCGGCACCGGAAGAAACCCAAACGTTTCCAGCTCCTGAAACTCTAGGCGCGTGCCGGAGCTATCGAAACATTGCACCTGCGCAAGGATTCACGAACGATGCGCACGTGTCGCCTCCGCCAAGTCTATTGTTGATTTATTCAGCTGACATGAGCAACACTGAAGGCATGAGTCTATCAAGTGGCCGTGCCTGCGTGAACGAAACTTTCTGGGAGGACCCGCAAACGCTCAGATAGAGCAGATCAAAGTAGACTCGGTGCTTGCGTGGGAGCTTACGATGGTATGGAGATGCAGGCCGTTGCTTGACAAGTGTAACCCACTTCCTCTAGGCACAATTCCTAGACGGGTGCCCAACCCATGCGCTGCACACGGCTCAGGGGTATCTACTCCGAGTGCAAAATGCTGCTGTAGGTCTTGACTGACAGCATGCCTGGTGGTTCGAGACTGAGCGTGTGTACTACCTGAGCGAGGCCCTTGAGAGCCGAGAATACCATGCACCCGGATGTCGAGTCCGCCGCCACGAAGTCGTGCGGCTCCCCGTCGCTCGGGACCATCCTCAGCTTGACACAACTGGCGATCTTGAGCTGATCCCTCTTGGAGAGGAGGGCCCAGAACGGTTCTCGCCATATCGTTGTGCGTTCCGCGAGGAATTTGCGTACGGCTGAGCATTCTGCCTAGAGGTTTAGTTCCGGCGTGCACACGGGTCACCCGTTTCGGTTGGGGGAGGAGTTTATGTCAAGGTGGTGTGGGACTTGACCGTTCATGCCGGGAGCCCCCCTCCAACGAAACAGGAGTAGGGAAGATGAAACTTAAAATGGTTGGGACAGAGAAAGGCTATGGACGGAAGTCTGGATATGTGATCCGTTTCAGGCCCGATCGCTGTCGTCGTCCATGGTGGTTGTTCTGCTGTCTTACCGAAACATTTGTACAGACTCCCAAGCCGTGACCTTTGTATCAAGCCCTAAGATTTGAAAGACGAGGTGACTGAAGCATGAAGTGGACTGTTTCAATATCTGCGCCGGCGTAATAACAGGGTGTAGATTATTTAGTGCAAGTGACGGTATGTAGATCAATGTGATGGCGAAGAAACAGTGCTACTATGTGGTGGGCAGCTTCGTTGGGCGCTCCTAGTGGACAGCGGGGCAAGTCCCTATGTCAACGAGCCTCACGGGTGCCAAGACATGTTTGAGTTAACGCGGTTTTGCGCCTAGACGGGGGTGCTTGTGGGCCATGCACAATCGACGCACCTCTGTCCTCTCGCCGTGCTTCAGTAGGATTCTTCGTAGCGCGAAGGTCTGCTTGAGCTCAAGCGTTGCGGGTGCCAAATCCTATCGACACGTGTGGCACGAGGGCATGTAGTCTAAATTCGACGATATTTTTCTTCGAACTGACAACACAAGAACGCGGTGAGAGGCGAGAATTGGGTGCGCAGGAGATCATAAGGAAAACCAACGCACATGCTGGGACTTACATATGTACAATGGTCTACGGGATACGTGCATACGGTAGGTAGAAGTTTCCAGTTAGTTGTAGGTCTATCGCAGCGCCTACTGAGTGATTGCACTCGACGCGCTTACCATACGACGCCGACCAAGATCAGGACATGTTTATGTTCAAGAATATCGGAAAGATTCATGACTACTTTGCTGGACATCGTCGTATGATTGCATGATCTCACCACCCCTCGTCGAAGCTTGGAGAAACAGGACGCCGTCTTCGAGCTGAGATCGAAGCTTTTCCGTTCCTCCATTTCATAAGGGTTTCCCGTCTCGCCAACCAGCGAGGATGAAATAGAACAGAACTACCGTGAGTCACGAGAAGGGATAAGGAGATAGCGAGGGCATTGAAAGAACGTCAGAACAACCGGGAGTATCGCACTGCCACCGCACAAAGAGAACAGAGAAGAGAGTGTGGTGCGGCGTGTATTGTGCTGTTTCGGAAATCCCGCCGCTTGATTGCTCCGCATGTCCATCAATTTGGCTTGCTGGCTCTTAGCTTTAGCTCCGCTTCGATGAATCGGTGTGTGTACGTCCCACGAAAGTTCCCGTGCTTGATGGATCTGTATCCCGGGCCATGAACCATGCGCACACCAGAGGCTTTCCAGAGGGTCCACGACTGGATCGAAGTTCGCGAAGATCTGTTGGCAAGGGTGGCCTCCCTAGACCCGAAACTCGACGCCAACCAAAAAAACATCAGGCCCATGTATGCCCACTTGCTCTTAGCGCTAAGACGCGCTACTGTCACCCTGATTCGCCTGATTGCGGGTGGGCAGGACGTCGGTGATGGGAAAAACGTGTACGACAAAGGATGCTTCATGTGGAAGGGCACGAACTACCTTGCCAAGATATGGTATGGCACTGACTGTTAGACTAGTCTAGACTTCAGTAGCAAGAAGGAATTTGATGTGTGTGATCTGGTTGACGACGGCAGGATCTGCCGAGGTCAGACGTGGTGCGCATGATATTTGCCACAACCTTTCTCCCCTGCATCTTTTGTATCTACGGAAGGCATCCGCATCAGTAGGACCGGCACGGATGATAGAAGGCGCTGAGTAGAGACCAGCACAGTATATAAAGTGGAGACGACAACTGCAGCAACAACAACCAACAATCGTCTATCTTTAGCCAGCTGTGGTCTAATGTTGAACGAAAGCGTGGCCCTGGGTTTTGCTTGGGTTCAACCAGAACGACGTGGAAGTCTAGGCTGCCTGTTGGGTACACACGCTATTTCGAGTAGGGATTCTTGTTGTAGTCCAGCTTTAAAGATCTCGAAATGTTAGCAGGCATTCGAATTTTCAAGGTGATGGTCAAGATGGGGATGTGCAGAACACAAAGCATCGAGAGCACACACGTGTATCATTTTCGTGTGTCCGTGCCTGGGTTGCTGGAACCCATCATGTCTAGGTGCACTGATGCCGCCCCTTTCCACAGCCACAACGTGTCTCCCTTGGAACTGGTTTGGTACCCGACCTCAATGTGGTCGTCCATGACCGACCATGCCCCTCTCCCAGCCAGGACACGGCGTTCCTGGAAAATATTGACGAGCTTCAGAGATTCTTCGGAGAGACCTTTCACGACAACCCTCTGGTGAGGTCCAACTTCGCCTGCCAGCTTCACTCTTTCACTCAGTTATCGTCTACATCACTACGCGGAGGCACAATGTTTCTGCACCTCGCACCTACTGTTCTTTTATCCTCATCAGCGCAACAGCAGCCCTGTCTAGTAGATAGTAGCAACAAACACAGGTGCGATGCTTTTACTCGACGACATAGACTCCAACGCCGCCATTAATGTGTTGATAACCTCGTGGACGCGCTGAGATCCATCAAAAGCTCCCATCCATCCCATTGACTGCGTTTGGTGCTCTCAAAAGAGTAGGCAGTCAAGTTTGGTGGGCTGGATGCTCCGGTGCAGCACGATTCAGGCGGCACCGAATGCGACGTACCTCCAAGACGAAGCAGCTTCTTCGCAGGCTTGGATAAGGGAACTATAGAATTCGTTTTCGGCGTGCTGAGACAAGCGCAGAAGTACGAAGAGGATCAAGGTCTTCGGGAAATGACAAGCCTAAACTTGGCCGAAAACAAAGAACAAGTTGGTGGTAAAAGTAACCAGGGCTCGTGTGAGGCGTGCCCAAAGAGTTTACCCGAAGTGGAACTGGAAGAATCCAAAGGAGAAGTATCGCAAGCCGCTCCCAACGGTGGCGCTGCACGTAAAGCAATGCAGTTGGATGCCTGTTCACCTTTGCCTTCGTCGGTGGCGCTACCAAGCGTCGACATGTTGTTGGTGCATGAGTTAGCTTTGCGAATGGCGGCCAAGCAGCAAGGGGATACTCTGGACCTTGCCTTGCGTTGCTTGCGCAACTGGGCCTTCTTAGCCAAAAAGCTTCGAGAAACAAGGACCAAGGTTAACCTCCGCTTCGAGGGAAGAGAAGAGGTTCGTAAGATAGCCAGTCAGCGAGAGTTCTTCGTGCGCTTGAAGCAACACTCAGTGGCCAAAAAGCGGGCACGCCAGGCAGCTAACAGAATGCTGGGCGAGAGGTGCGGAACGGTCGAGAGGACTGTCATAGCAGCCCTTGCGGCAAACGTTCAAAGAGCTCGGTATTTGGACAGATCTGCGGGTATCCTAAGAGAAAAAATTGGCATCTTGCGCAATCTCAGAGGAAAGTCTCGCGTGTTGGCCGCGTTAATTCAGGCCTGCGAAGACGCCAGGGTTCGGCAGAGGAAAGCGGAAGGCTTCCGTGCTGACGGGTTGATACGTCTGTGTGTTGAGGCCTTTGGTGCATGGGCGAGCGCAGCCGGACTCGCTGGGCGGCTGCGGAAGCGCCTCGGTCTCGCGGAGAGGGCTCTGCTGAAGAACCTTCTCTCCGCGTGGGCCCTGTTTTCAAAGCACTCTATCGAGAAGCGGCTGAAGAAGGAGGAGCGCACGATGCAACGGGCGTGGTGCGCGCGCAAGCAAGCGTGGGACACCGAAGTCCTCGACGAGGCGTTTGTTAACTGGACCAACCTCACGGCAGCCAATAAGTTCCGCCGCATTCGGCTCTCAGCGCGAGCCTTGCGGGGGTGGGCGGCCGTAGTAAGAGCGGAGATCACCAACGCTACACTTTCGAGAGAGAAGAAGGGCGTACTTCTGGCCGCGGCTCGTACGGAGGCCGACGCGAGGTTTAAGAGGGCTAGCTGTAAGGTCCTGGCCGACTTCTTCGAGGGCTGGGCGAGCGAAGCCGGGCTCGCGTCCCGCCTGCGTCTGCGGCTGGGGAAAGCAGACCTAGCGCTCGTTTGCAACGCTTTCAGCGCGTGGACCATGTTTGCAAGGCACGCCGCGAGGAAGAGAGAGGCAAGGCAGGCCGCCCGGGCGACGCAGAAGAGGAACTCCGCGGTCTTGAGAGCGGCGCTCTGGGCCTGGGCGGACGTGACCGCAGCGGACAAATTTTTCCGGATGAGGTTGGGGCTCCGGGTGCTTACAGCGTGGCGAACGATGCTCGAGGGGGACAGGTTGACATCTAGTGCAGAGTTTTGACCGGACAAACCTTACGCAAAGAGCCAACCATGACTTGAACGTATCAAACGGGGTGTAGTCACCGCACGTTGGGGACTGCTTGCGTCTTTCCCGCTGGTTGCGGTGCTCACGTTCGGAATGGCGTCATAATTGTCATACGGGATAAAGGTAGCTTTTTTGACGCGCCCCCGTGCTTTCAAGCTGCCCTTGTTGTGTCACCTAGCATGGCAGACGAGAAGGCTGTCTTGGAACAAGAACAAAGGTGAAAACAGCAGGATAGCTGTTTCGACTCAACGCAGGGCCACGAGACCGCGCTGTGGAGGAGAGAATTCCACCGAGTAGCGCGTATAAATTTGGTCCGGAGCATCGATGACATTTCGCCGCTAACTTGTCGGAGGATTTCCCCGTATTGTCTGGCCTTGGCTTGTAACAATCACAGCTCAATTTCCCTCGACTTCTCAAGTTGTATGGAGTCTATTGTTGGTACGCGTGCGTGATTTGGGTATCAGACATCCGCATCCACACGCCACGCATTTTGCTCATGCAACTGCTGTAAATCCACCTGCAATTTGGCCGTTTGATACCGGATCAGAAAACGTGACCACTTGCTTTCGAACTTCCTCGAGCCTTGCGATCTGTCAACGTCAGCGCAGAGCAGGGAACGTTCAGCTTTGCTTGACGAAAAAGGTCTCGATGAAACCACCCACCAAAGGATAACTTTCCCTTCTTTCGTTTGGCTACGGACTCTGACCATCCTACCTTCTACACCATATGCTAGCAATCGGCGCCTGTGCCACACTCCTTCTCTGGATGGCCGAAGTGCGGTGGCGCTCAGAGTGCCAGCAGAGATAATGCAGGTCAACTTATTCGTACGTCGGTCCATGCTCAACGGACACCCCCCACTGCAATGGGGGAATCACCGCTGAGCTGTTGACAGCGGATAGAGCCAGTCCACGTTATCGGAGGGGCGGTGGCGGCCCTCGGGTTCATTTACACTTCCCCTTGTATGCCCAAGCTGAAGAGAAATAGGTCGATACTTCCTACGACCTACTAGCGAAAGCGACAACAACCGGGTATCCCCAAGAACACAAAAAACATAAAAAAAAAGGTGATGTTGTCTGCGACCTGTGAGGGTGGTTGCAGACGTACATCAGCAGGACCTAGGGAAAACCCGAAACAAATAACTGCCGTACCAAGGGATGAGGAGATGCGATACTACCACTACAGCTGGAGCTGCGGTATAGACCTCATCTCCCTTGAAAGCCCGGTCTAAGAAATACGAGCGCATGGCAAGCAACCGTCCCAACTTCCGATTTGGCGAACGCAACAACATGGAACAATACCAGACCCTGATCTATCGTAAGCAACGAAAACAACTACAGACGACGAGGAGACAGACGTGATGCTAGAGTAATTGACGCACAGTAAGGAAGAACGACATTGGAGGTGCGGAGGGAAACCAAAAAAACAAACCGAATATTCGCCTGCCCGATGAAAAGACTGCCAGTTTTAACTCTCGAGACAGTGCCAACAATGACAACCATCACTTCCAATGTTCTCGCCATCAATCACACTCACAACAGTACGCGTAGCGCGATGCCTCTTTGCCCCCTCCCCGCGTGCACGACGAATACCCTCATCTTCTTTACAAAAGCCAACCGCGGTCCTCCAGTCCCCCTAGTTGACACCGAACGGTCACCTAACCCAACGAGTCGGACAGAGTCCATTACAACAACAAAATACTCGCAAAGCTTCGCCACCAGCGCGGCAAGACACAGGATTTTAGCATATACACAAAACTGTATCGAGCCACGAAGCACACACACGAAAAAAAAGAACGGCCAACCTAAGGTGCTTCAGAGACCCGCCTCGGCCATCGAGACGAACCTGCGACGTACGCGGGACACGAACTTGGCGAAGTCGTTGCTTTCGTTCACGTCCACCAGCATTCGGTCCAAATCTTCCGTCGCGAGCGCCGGGAAGCATTCCGGTACGACGTAGCGGCCATTGTCGTCAATGAAGACGGCGATCACGAAGGGCCTTTCGGGCTCTTGCCGGGAGATCTTGACGGAGCGTTCCGGGTGCACGCGAGGGGGGGGGGGGGGGGGG